ACAGGAAAAATTCGTTGTATGTCATACACGCACAAAAGAAAAGTTGTTGGACCAAAGTCGACACCATATTATTGAAAGGTGGATAGTGTATTTAAAGACGTCGTGGTACCCTCTCTACGATCGATTCGTTAATCCAGACATAATAGTTACGGTAATTACAGTGGCTCGGAAATAGGAGGCTTCTGACCGTGTTCATCGGTCTTATTCTGAAGGCCTTTGCCTTCTGTGGGTGCTAATTCCTTTGGTCATTCTGTGTCTCGTTCTTCTCCTCGTCGAATTTCTGACCGTTTCAACTTCACAAGCGACTCTTATCTAGGTTGCAGTAAATGCCCGTGTTGTTGAACTCAAGCCATAATTCCACCATGTTTCTGTGTTTTATTGATGCTTCCAAGGCCTTTGATAGACTGAATCATTTCAAATTATTTGACAAAATGTGCCAGAGAGGGGTACCCAAGTACATAACAAGGATCTTAGCCTTTTGGTATGCACATCAGACTATTCAGGTGAAGTGGGGCAATACTGTGTCTGAACATTTGTATGTTGGTAATGGGGTCAAGCGAGGTGGGATCTGATCTCCTTTGTTGTTTAGTCTGTACATGGATGATCTGTCTAGGAAACTGAACTTGTGTAAAACTGGCTGTGTCATCGGTGCTACTGTTGTCAACCACCTTATGTACGCAGATGATTTAATCATCTTCTCCCCATGCAGTGCTGGCTTACAACAGCTTCTGAGGACTTGTTCCCAGTATGGCATTGATTGTAATATTAAGTATAACGCCAAGAAGAGTAGCATCATGATTGTGCGAAGTAAAGAGGATAAAAAGGCTGTATTTCCTCATTTGATTCTCAGTAGCAACATTCTTCTTGTGTGCAGTGAGATGAAGTACCTTGGTCATTATATTTCTGATGATCTCACAGATGACAAAGACATCCATGCAATGCTGCAAGCTGTATGCCCAGGCAAACATATTAATGCGGAAAGTGCTCTGTAGATGTCAAGGTATCACTTTTTAAAGCTTTCTGTACACGGCTCACCTGTGGAGTAACTACAAGGCTAGAAGCATACAAAAACTAAAAATT